GATCAATACGTCGCTGACACCAAGTCTACAGGTAGTTGTCCTACAGAGTCGGTTGTTCTGGGCAATCTATTCAGCAGAGTGATCATCGATTCGTCGAAGGAAACTTTATAGGTTTCCAAAGTTAGCCGTTATTTGCTATTCATTCGCTAGCAAGTAAGCCTAAAACGCAGACATGGCTCCTCCTTGATGTTCAGACAGGAATTTAGGTATCGATCTGGACAGAACTTGCTATAATCATTGAATGTCCACCCTCAAGTGAGGAGAAACGCCAGTTAAGCTTATTGCTACAGACAGCCCGATGAAAGAAACGAGCACAAGACTGGAGCTCTAATAGGCAAACGGATACGTGATAAGACAGAATCTGTTAGCTCAGCTCCCACGGTGCGAACAACTGCTTGGTACTGCTACTGACCGAACTGCCGTCTGTGCATTTTTTGACAAATCTAGGGGGCCGAAATGTGCTGCTTAAAGAAACCCTAAAACTGCAATACATTAGATGCTACTGTCTGTTGAGGGTTCGGACGGCGTGATGACTATTTTAATGCACATTCTCTTCTGAGTTCCTCCGACGTAAATGATGTTAAGTTACCCATCAGAGGACTTCAGAAATGTTTTCATCGAGGTTTCTTTGGGGATAAATTCGAAGGTGGCCTCAAATCCTTTCATCAAGTTTGTTTTCCGAGTAATCTTTTTCTAAACAGAATTTATAAAGGTATGAGTTATACGAGGAACTCTGTTACCCATTGTTGAACCATTCTGGGGTGGACAATTAAGCCTTTAGCGAAACATTAAATTGACTCAACCGACCAACTAGTTTGCGTGCAATAGATATCAACTGACGTAAAGGTGAAAGCGGCCACATTTTCAAGGTCCAGGTCCAAAGTACAAAAAAACAAACAAAGGGGAGCGGAAAAGGAACGCTACGACGCACGTTATAATTTCGCACCGGTCGACGGCAGTGGCGGAAATCAGGCATGCACATGTACCAGCGACGGCAGCCGAGCAAAACGAGACTGGCCACAGTAACGGTGACACATCGCTTGCTTGTGAGTCAACTGAACCGACTGAACCGAACCGAACCGTTGGTACCGGTAATCGTCGAAAGAAACGCAATCGATATGGTTCAGATCTATGGTCCGACCGGTTTACCTCTGAGCGATGAGGGACATGAGGCTGCTGTAGGTTTCGGACCTGGTTCTTGCGGTTTAGGATCGATGTTCAAATCACGTGATTAATAAAAGATAAATTTCAGTACAACGAGAGGAGCAGAACTCACGTGCTTCTGCCTTTCAATACATATAACGACGTACTTAGCTCGTCGATGGTTGTTAGCCGACTGGCGTCACAGCGCCAGAAACGGAGCCACCAGTTACACCAATAGCGGCGGCGATGACCACCAGGCATTGTCGTGGACTGGACAGCCAACAGCCGGTCGGTACTCCTCCTCCTTCTCGATGCCAGTGGCGATGATATTCACGTTCGATCCTCGACCATCGGAGATGGTCGTCGTCATTTGTCCTTAGGGTCACGTGACAACATCGCCGATCTTCGACGCTGACATTGGTCACTCTCGACGGATTAGCATGATCAGTGGTCAGCCCAGCCTGACGGCGACCGAATGCCCATCGCTTTACGGATGTAGAGGCGACGAGGAGGAGGAGACGTCGACGAACGAACAAACGACGAACGACGTTCGATGATCGCCTGTGCACGGCGCAACGCTGCTTACGGTTCTGCAATCGATTAGGTCCCATGATCATCTTACGGCATGCGCTGATTGGCCAACTCCGACTGCCTTTGGGAGAACACCTGCCAGTGTCGACGAAGTGGTTGTGGTGCCGGCGGAAGTCAGTTGTACATGGGTTTGGTTCAAAAATGACAAGGCCACTGGCAGTCAAAAAAATTACTGTCGTCGCGGTCTCCGAAGCCGTTGCAGTCACCACACCGATCTGTCACAAAAATTACGCACAGCTGTAGGGCTTGTTCGTGTGAGGAAAGCGGTGAGGAAAGCGTTGAAGTCGAGCAACGCAGCCTTAGAGGCGACTTGATGACGCAATCGAGAAACATGTTATGACATGAACAGGCAAGTAAGTATTCTGGCATCGACGCTGCTGCCTCCCTGACCTAACGGTTTCTCAACAGGTCGTA